CCCTGATGGAGCAGGAGAAAAGTGGGGTGCAGAACTCAAATTCACGTGAAAAGATCAGACTTAATGGTCTGACTGAGACTGGAGGAACCTCAGAAGACATGGCCCCCAGACTCTCTGTTAACCCAGACTAAAACCATTCCCGAAGCCAACTCTTCAGACAAAGATTAGACTGGACTATAAGACATAAAATGATACTTGTGAAGAGTATGCTTCTTAGTTCAAGTAGATACATGAGACTAAATGGGCAGCTCTGTCCGGAGGCAAGATGAGAAGGCAGAAGGGGATAGGAGCTGGTTGAATGGACAAGGGGAATCCAGGGTGGAAAGGAGAAGTGTGTGTCACATTATAGGGATAGCAGCTAGGGTCATATAACAATGTAAGTATAAATTTTTATATGAGAAACTAACTTGAGGTGTAAACTTTCACTTAAAGCACAATAAAAAAAAATATTCTTTTGGTATTTAGAAAGGTTCATGTTTTTGTTCTAGTGATTACCTGTATACTAATACTTTTTAAAATGTCCTTGTTCTCCTTTTTCCTTACTTAAGCTCCTACTATTTAGTTTACCAGCTTATTATATCCTTTGACTTCCACCTATTTCCTATACAATGATCCATTAATTTACTCTATTTTCACACTTTCCTCTCCCTTCTCCTCCCATTTTTTTAGTTGTATTATTTCTTTTTGGTCAGAATACAATACATAATCTTCCACCCTTGTCACCACCTTTTAGTCTTAGATTTTCAATTAAACATTCAATGCTCACCATCAGTCTTTTTGCCAAAATGTCTCCAGTCATCTCTTAGATGGAAGAAGCTTATCTTCTGGTAGATTCCTCAGGAAGGGCTTTTAAGTGTAACATTCCTGAGTTCTTGCTTGTTTAAAATTGTTTTTTATAGTCTTGGTATCTGAAGACTGGCTAACTATAAAATCCTTGTCTCACATGTACTCACTTGTCTGGAAAATACTACTCCTGTTGTCTTGTTTTGTATGTTGCTGTCGAGAAGTCTGATGTCTGTGTTCTTTATTTGTAATAAATAACTTAGATTTGGGGCAGGAGGGTAGGAGGATGGGAGAGGGCTCGAGCCCTGAGGATTTTTCTTGCACTTTAAAGTCTAAAAGTTTACTGGGATATGCGTATATACATGTGTTGACTGTTCTGGGTCCATTTTTCCAGGTACACAGTGGGTTCTTTCAATAGAGCTAGATCTTTTATTTCTGGAATATTTTCTGGTATTATAGTTTTAAATATATTAGTTCTGTTCCACTATTTTGTTTTTGTTCTTTAGGATCTCCAAATATAGGTATGTTAGATCTTCTTTGCCTATCTTCTATAGCACTTTCTCTTTGATCCTTTTTACTGCTTTCTGTATTCAGTTTTCATACTCTAGCTGTTTTCATGCCTTTCCTCAATGCCAAATATTTTGTTGTTGTTGTTAGGTGCCTGTCTTGGTCATCTAGTGCTGCTCTAACAGAAATACCACGAGTGGATGGCTTTGACAAAGAGAAGTTTATTCTCTCACAGTCCAGTAGGCTACAAGTCCAAATTCAGGGCGTCAGCTCCAGGAGAAGGCTTTCTCTCTCTGTCGTCTCTGGAGGAAGGTCGTTGTGATGCATCAGTCTTCCTTTGGTCTGGGAGCATCTCAGCGCAGGAACCTCAGGTCCAAAGGATGTACTCTGCTCCCGGCACTGCTTTCTTGGTGGTATGAGGTTCCCATGTGTCTCTGCTCATTTCTCTCTTTTTTATCTCAAAAGAGATTGGATTAAGACACTATCTAATCTTGTAAACCTCATCAGTATAACCACATCACAGTGACAGAATTCACAACACATAAGGAGATCACATATAACCTCATCATAGTGACAGAGTTTACAACACACAAGGAAATCACATCAGATTACACCATCATCCAATACTGGGAATCATGACCCAGCCAAGCTGACAGATATTTTTGGGAGACACAACTCAATCCATGACAGTGCCGTTGAGTCAGTTCCAACTCATAGTGACCTCATGCACAACAGAATAAAACACTGCCCGGTCCTGAACCATCCTCAGAATTGTTGCTATGTTTGAGCCCATAAATCTATCCTCCCTTGGCTAACTTGTAATTCAGTCTTTATCTAAGATAATTCTGTCTTTTTCTTCAATTTCTTTCCTGAGTTCAGTAAACTTTCATTTTACAGCTTTCAGTTTTTTGTCCATTTTCATTCTGAGTTTTTGAATTTCCAATACAACATATTATGTCTTACCTGCAAATGCTTGTTTAAGGACATTTAATTCAGGTTGGTGGATTATGTTAACAGTTTTCCTCTGTTTTGTTACTATTTTGGAGGGAGGATTTTCATTAGTTGAAATGTTTTGATTTTCAGTTTCTATTGTTTTCTCACAGTAATTTTGTATTAATGTCATCTGCCACTTTCTGTTCATTTTGTACTGCCTTATTTTTCTGAATCAGTAATAATACAGGCAGATGTGAGGGTTTGGAGAGGCTTACTAGATTTTTTAGTTCAACAGCATCCTCTTCTGTTAGTATAGTGAAATGATTATCTGGGGCTAGGCAGATGGTATATCTTTTGGTTTTGTGATTCTCTTTTCCACCTATTGTTTGTTTCTTTCCCTTTGCCACCAGGTCTCCAAGGATCACCTGCTCTTTCTAAGTCATCCTCATTTCTCCAGAAGCGATTCTTTTCTTAGGCTACTGTCTTAGTCAACTAGTGCTGCTATAACAGAAATAACACAAATGGATGGCTTTAACAAAGAGAAATTTATTTTCTCACAGTCTAGTAGGCTGGAGCAGGCTGGAGGTCCAAATTTAGGGCATCAGCTCCAGGGGAAGGCTTTCTCTCTCTGTGAGCTCTGGAGGAAGGTCCTTCTTATCAGTCTTCCCCTGGACTAGGAGCTTCTCCGTGCAGGAACCCCGGGTCCAAAGGACGCACCTTGCTCCCGGTGCTCTTTCTTGGTGGTATGAGGTGGCCCCTCTCTAATCACTTCCCTTTCCTTTTATCTCTTATAAGATAAAAGGTGGTACAAGCCACACCCCAGGGAAACTCCCTTTACATTGGATCAGGAATGTGACCTTAGTAAGGGTGTTAGGATCCTACCCTAATCCTCTTTAACACAAAATTACAATCACAAAATGGAGGACAACCACACAATACTAGGAAGCATGGCTTAACCAAGTTGACACATATTTTTAGGGGACACAATTCAATCCATGACAGCTACCACCTCTAATCCTATATATTTCAAGTCCCTTACTTTTGACTCCCAAGGAACCAGCAGTTCTAACCTATCAGGTCTCAGGCCTGTTCTCAGTATGCCTCCACTTACGGCAGGTCCTTCTCTCTCTGGAGATGAGTTGTTCTGTGTTTTGTCACCTCCAGGCCCCTACTTCCTCTCCTCTTTTCACCCGTCTCCTCTGAACTCTCCACTCTAATGCTAGCTCTGTTGGATTTGGCTATTTATATTCCTACTGCCATGTAATTTGAAATTTGTAGCATTCTGTCTACTAGATGTGGTAGTCATGGGTTATGAGTGGTTTTATTTGCTTTCCTTGTTTATCTGTGGAGTTTGTTTTCAAGAATGTGTGGAGAGATGCGGATTTAGGCAGCTACCATTATTCTACAGGAAGCCAGAACGCCTCAGAAAGTGTGACTTTAGATAAACCTTCCAGGAAAAAAAGCAAACCTAAGAATGTTTCTGGTATTATCCCATCTACACCGAAAGGACTCAAAGGATAAAGGAGAGGCGCAAATGGTCTCAGAAGTGAGATGGTCTTGAAGAAGGCGCAAAACTCTGTCCTGAAGTATTAGCCCAAGAGACAGAAAGGGCCACATAAACTAGAGACTGCATCAGCCTAAGACCAGAAGAACTAGATGGTGCCCGGCTACCACCAATGACTGCCCTGAAAGGGAACACAACAGAAAGTTCCTGATGGAGCAGGAGAAAAGTGGGGCGCAGAACTCAAATTCACATAAAAAGACTAGACTTAATGGTCTGACTGAGACTAGAGGAACCCCAAAAAGCATGGCCCCCGGACTGTCAACCTAGAACTAAAACCATTCCCAAGGCCAACTCTTCAGACAAAGATTAGGCTGGACTACAGGACATACAATGATACTCGTGAAGAGTGTGCTTCTTAGCTCAAGTAGATACATGAGACTAAATGGGCAGCTCCTGTCAGGAGGTGAGATGAGAAGGCAGAGAGGGTCAGGAGCTGGTTGAATGGACACAGGAAATCAGGGGTGGAAAGGAGGAGTGTGCTGTCATAGTATACGGAGAGTAATTAGGGTCACATAACAATGTATGTATAAATTTTTGTATTAGAGACTAACTTGAATTGTAAACTTTCACTTAAAGTACAATAAAATAAATAAAAAATTTAAAAAAAACTGTCCTGAGTAAAATGGGGTAGCTTACCTGAGTAAGGTTCCACTGCAGCTGCTGAGCTGGCTGAACCCCATACATAGTTTGGGGCACAGCTGCCATGCCTGCCATGTAGCCAGCCTGCTGGGTGGTCATCATTCCATTTGGCACACCCATCATTGATGCCTGCATGCCACCCATATAGCCCGCAGGCATGGCCATGGGGGCAGCAACCATCCCAGAAGCTCCTGGTTGAGCTACCATGCCTACCGGCGGGGGCATCATGCTCCCCATTATGCTGTTAGGAGGTGTAACCCCAGGGAAGCTGGGGTAGGCTGTGGGATATGCCATCTGAGCAGGAGCCATGAACATTGCTGCCAAGAAAACACACATACAGATCTGTTAAAGAGGAAAGAATACAAAGTCAACCCAAACCCTTACTGGCTATGCCTTTCCAGCTAGAATTTCTTGGAACTATTCTTTTATGCAGCAAAGCTGCGAGACAGATCTCCTACAAGATTTGCTATGTAGGTCACTGACCTGGCCCCTTCCCTTTTAGGGTCCAGATACAGACCTTGAATCAGACTTCACAGAGGTGTGACACCAGACCCCACAGAAGTATGGCTCTGAGTTACGCTAATATCTATCTGCTGACACTCTGTGGTTTCACAAGAAATGTCACATTCAGGCTTGTCTGGAGTATGATGTCCTGGCTCCCAAACCAACAGCACTCTATTACAACATATAACTCCTGTAAGTAAGTCCCATGTCTCTATCTGGCACTTTGCCATAACTCTTTTCCCCCATGAAATCTACCTTGGGCAGGCATCTGAGGTGTCTGGGATCCATACAGTGAAAGGATGGAGTCTTTAGAAAGCTGTTTCTTGCCTGTTTCCTCTGATTTGCTCCCTGGCTCAGGAAACAGGTTCAGATTTTCAGGAACAGAGCCAGCACTCCCTGCAGTTGGCATGGATCCTACAACCTTGAGGCAAAGAAGGCAGGGGGAGAATTGGAATAGTCCTCATGCGGGTCTCTTAAGGACCTCCCTCACATCTCTGCTGCTTCTAATACTTGCAATAAGAATTCATGGCTCAAATTAATAGCTTCCTGACGTTTTTACCATCCAAATATCTGAAAACACCTGATAGTTAAGCTCTGGTACAGTTCTTTGTTCTCCAGAAAAGCAATGTGATTTGGTGCAAAAACAAAGTAAAACAAAACTCCACAAATGATGCAGCCAGAAAGAACTAAGTTTAAATTCCAGTACAGTCATTAACTAGTTGTATGACCGCAGGCTACTCACATAACTTTTTTGAACCTGTGTTTCCTCATCTGTAAAATATCCATTTTGCAGGGTTATGGTGAGAATTTGAAATTATAAATGAAATATACAAAATGACATATGGACAGCACCTAGCACTGTGCCTGATACATGCAGGCACTACACAAGTGGTAGCCATAAAGTTTTGAGTCTTTCATCCGTACAGATTCTCTGGCAGTAACTCAGGCTGAGCAGCTAACATAAAGTACCAGCCTTTACAATCTGACACACCTTTACTAGAAGCCCACTCAAAGGGCCCACCCATCTGGGGCAGGAAACAAAATAGAATGAACAATAATACTAAACTGGGACCCAGATGACACAGTGTTAAGGGGACAATCAAGAAAACCAAAGTCCAGTTCCACCAAGGAAGCATGACTCGGTTCCATGGTTAAGTTATCAAAATCACCCTTTCCAGAACGTTCTTTAATCCTGGGAAGCCCACAAGACTCACCTTTCTGGAAACTGAAGAAGAGGGGGATGGAACAGAGGCCAAAAGATCTAAATCCTTCTCTAAGGTATTGCTGGTCTTACTATTTGCAATGGAGCAGGCCACAGGAGCATCTAAAAAAAGAGATAAAAGTTATAATGTAGCAGCGCTTATTAAGCCCATGCCTTCCTTCTATACTAGATAAAAAGCAGACAGAGAAAGCCCATCATGCTCCATCATGGACCTAGCAATCTAGACTTCTGGAACAATCTAGCTTATATGAGGCTCCTCAAAAGAGGCCTCACCTCACATTCCCCAGAGTGCTCTCTGGGAAGCCTGAAGCCCAGCTATCAGGCATAAGGCAGCAGAAACCCAGGCCTGAAGGATATATCAGGACCACAGCAGTGGGGCTGGCTGGCTCCTTTCTGGCTATTTGAAGGGCAAAGCTGTGTAGGATTCATTTTCAGAGAGAAATGAAAGGTACAGAAATTAGAAGCCTAAGTAGCCAATAACCTAAATCAGCAGAAGTGGACTGAGACAAAGTATGATCAATCAGCATTGTGAAAAGTAAGGGTAGGCTCTATTTCTGAAAGGGACAGAATCTCTAGTTTAGGGTTTCAAAGGTCTGGAGAAAAATGACCATAAGGAAATAGGCCATCTCAGAAAAAGTTCACACATGAACAATGAAAGGGGCAGGGAACAGGGTGAAGTACAGGGAAGTGGCACAGGGCTCACAGGTGCCAGTTTAATGAAAATTGCTACCATTTATTGAGCACTTAGTATGTGCCAGGCACTGGGCTAAGAGCTTTAGAGGCATTATCTCATTTAATCCTTCCAACATCTTTGAAGTAGAGACGATTACCATCCTCATTGTATAGATTAGGAAAGTGATGCTTAGAGGTTAAGTAAGCTAACCCAAGGTCACACAGATAGTAAGTGGCAGAGCCCATGCTCTTAACCACTACACTGTACTATTGCTCTGAAAAATGTCACAGTAAACACTTCCTCAGAGCAACTGCTTAGATGTAAAACATACAGGAAGAATGTGAGAGAACAATCTTAGTGAAGAAGCCACAAACTGGAGAATCTCGTTTCTATCTATCTTCGCAGGGTCACTGAGACTTCATCGTAAAAATACGGGAGCTGAAAAGTCTAACTCTTACCAAGGCCCAACAAATCCATGACAGGTGCTGTGGATTTCGGGGAGCTTTTCCGAGGTAGCTGTGGATCTTCTTTTTTCTGTGGCTAAGGTGAAAATACGGTACAGAAAGAAATGAGCAGGTGTTTTTTAACTTCTTCTCCCCTCACCACTCTAAAGCCATGTGCTATAGTTGCTGTCATTCAAAGACAGCTACTGAAGAAACAAAATCCAGGAAGTGTCGGGTGAAAGATGAAAGAATCAAGTCAGCAGGCACAAGTGTATCAACCAAACCTCAAGTGATAAGTGAAGATATCATCTGTGCTCGTTTGGCTTTCTGAAGAGACAGAAGACATTTCTGAAACCAAGACAACCACAGATCAGTGGATCCAACAGAAGTAGCATCTTTTGGTCCCAGGAAAAGCCAAGAACAAAGATAGATATCTGATGGCATGAAAGCCAAGAGCCAACAAATCTCCCAATGGTTAGAAAACTTTTTACTTTTATACTAAAAGGGAGATTAGTTTAAAGATTACCTAATTCACTCTGCCAATATCACTAATGACTGTGTTCCACGTACAATGTGATTCAGAATGATGGAAGACTCTTCCTTAAGCAATAGTAAAAAGTCCTCTCTCCCAAGACTCCAAGCTCTTATATAAGAGTATCTACTACTACAGCCACAGTATCTCCTGTGAAAAAAGAAAGGTGTCCACTTCAATATGACAAAGCAAGAATACAAGAAGGGATCATTTAAAATGGATTAGTGTAGCCTGGCTTCTGGACTGTTCTTAACTGTAAAAGGAAATGAAGTACAAAAGGTCTAACACAGGGAAGGACTAAGGTGTGGGTGGCATCTTCTCAGAAGTGTCACATAGCCTTGGCATTGTGGCATGGAACGTGTCTGTTGCTGAGGTGGCACAGATGCAGTTCCAAAGCTGCCATCTGGCCCCAAAGAGAAGTGTTACAGAGCAGATTAGGCAGCCGCAAGGCAATGGGAAAGAGGCAGGAATGGCAGCAGACAATTTAATCTAAATGTGGAACCTTTAGTGCTAGGTACAATGATGAAATATGGTATAATCCCCATCCCACCTCCCCATAGGGCCTCCCACCTCTGCCCTGCACATAACATAAACATACCTGAGGTCATCCACACAGTATAAAAACTTTATCACTTACCATTTTCACTTTCTCAAAAACAACAGGTTCCATTTTTTTCTCTGGAGCTGGTTCACTCCCTCTTTTCCACTTGTCATCTTTTTCTTTCTATTAATAATTTAACAAACAAGACAAAGAACCCAGGCCCCTTGGTGACTAACAGTTCAATAAATTATAATCCCAAGTGCCCAAAAAGGACACAAAAAATCCCTGTTGATTCTGATGCGAAAGTCTGACAGACTTTGGTGGGGGCGGGGGGGTGTCTTGGTGTGGGGGCAGGAGAATTGACCTCTTCCACATTAACCTCAATGCTGTCAGAGGCACGCACCAACATCTTAAGCAATCCACAACGACCCTGCCTGTAGGTACTGTCTAACACACTTGTGATTCTTGAAATCTTCAGACTAGGCCATCTACAGAGGCTAAAAAATTTCACCAGTCTGCTGCTCGTTTTTGCCTCACTTTAACTTGCTCATGCTTTGAGGGGTCTCCCCTTACTCTGGTATACTGGTAAAGAAGTTCACGTTCATCTTATTCAGCACATAACCTTTGTAATTTATAAATTCAATCATAGGTCCTCTCGATTTTCATCTCCTTTTTTAAAAAACATAAAATGAACTTCAATTTCAAGCCCCTTAAAAATTAAAAAAAAAAAAGCTCAAGGAAATAAGGTAAAAGAAGAGTAAAAGGATTCAAGTATCCTTTCAAGGGTGTCCTACAGGAGCCACCTGTATAAAGCCAAAAAGCATATAAAAAATAAAATATTAGAAAGTCTCTCTCAGTTTTTGCTACTTTCAGAGGAAGTTTCATGATACTTTCACAGATAATAATGTTATTGGTCACATTTTTAACATCAAATAAACATCTAAATGCAAAACAGAACCACAAAGTAAACTGAAAAATACAGATAAAAATAAGTATAACATACATATGAAAAAATGTTCAACCTTGCTAGTGATCAAAAAATGTAATTTAAAATGCATTTTTTTGGGCAGATGGATCTAAATAACAACATCATCATCATCTAATATTGATAGCGATGAAGTAAAACCAATACTCTTATTATACATGCTGGGGGCAAAAAACAGTATAAAATGGTATAATTTCTGAAAAGTATTTGGCAAAGATATGAAGAGACAAGTATTGAAACCCTTTGACCTAAATTATATCATTATCTTGGAATATAGCTTAAGAAATTAATGTAAAATATAGAAAAAGTTGTATGTGCCAAGAAGTTCACCCCAGAATTATTCATGCTAAAGAACTTAAAAAACAACCTATATACCACAGATGGGCTACTCACTGAAAGATGATGTAACAATTAAAAATTATGAAAACCATACAAATAACATGGAAATACATGATATGTTAAATGGAATAAAAGCAGACGACATTCTATATAATTCTTTTATAATTATGCTCCCAAAAGTAACTATATAGAAAAAAAAAAAGGAACACACTAAGATGATAATCATTTAGTAAAGACGGTCAGGTTGCATGGACTTTTCCCTTTATTTTCCGTATTTTCTATAAAATAATTTTATAATCACAAAGAACACACACAGCTGTATCTGTTTCATGCATAGAGTAGCACTTAATACACATTATCTGTTTTTCAAAATAAACTCATTAAAAATTTCCCATGTTGAAGTTAAAAATGTTTTATCTGTCCATTAAAAAGGATATTCTTTAATTAACAAGACCAGTTTCTTTTCAACTTCATATTAAATGTCTTCACTTAGCAAATATTAATTCTTAATAAAAAAATCTTCCCAAGAATATTTTTAAAAAGCCTGAGTCCACTGAATGAAAAATCTGAAGTAGCTTTTTAGTAAACAAGATCTATTTCCTTCCTAAATGAAAACATCCTGTTAGTAACATAGGTTTGCTTTCATGGGTCTGGCCCACCAGCAATGCAATTATGAAAGAACACCTGAAGGACTCTCTATCTACATTCAACAACTCTCCCTCCTCCCTCATCTTCTGATTACCTCAGATACCCTCATCTGATTTCATATCTTCAGGTACAATGAACAGAGTTAGGCAGACAGACAATAGTTGTCTACAAATAGAAGGAAATGTGTGCGCTCTGTTTCCAAATTCTTTTTGATGATACCATCTAAGCCATATCTGTACACTGGGTCAATTCCCTCTAGGAACAGTTATGATAACTTCCAGGTCCCTTTTCTGGATGACTGAGAGATAAGAGTTCTTCATACTAATAGAGGAGGAATTTTTTTTTTTCTAACTACATATATTATTTTAAATGTACTTGCGTATAATGAAACTCACCTATTTAATACCTCTTTTCACACAACCTCAAAAGATCACTCTGAAGCTGATTCTAATTAGCTTGACTTTTAACTATCTGAAAGGGCTTAGAGCCCCTGCAAACTCAGCCATTTCACTGGCTAGTATATCCTCCATTAAAAATAATAATAAATAAATAGATAAGATAGACAGACAGATAGGACCTGTGCTAGAATACAGAATCCCATACTCTCTATACTTACGTGGCTGACGAAGTAGTCAACTATTTCTAAGAGAACATTTTTTCATATGTATGTTACACTTCCTTTTTTGTGTCTGTATTTTTAAGTTTACTTTGTGGCTCTGTTTTGCATTTAGACGTTTATTTACTGTAGACACTTTGTCAAAGACTTTTTGATAGTCTAAACCAGTTGCCATGGAGTAGATTCTGACTCATGGCAACCCCATGTGTGTCAGAGTAGAACTCTGCTCCACTGGGTTTTCAATGGCTGATTTTTCAGAAGTAGATTGCCAGGCCTTTCTTCTGAGGAACCTCTGGGTGGACTCAAACCTCCAACTTTTCGGTTAGCAGCCAAGCACGTTAACCATTTGCACCAGCTAGGGATTCCTTTGATCCAAAACCTGTTGCTGTCAAGTTGATTTCAACTAGTCTAGTCATTACTTAGTGGTTCTCTTTTAGCTGTCACTAGTCAGGCATATTCTCTCTTCCAGAAACCTGTGTTATACTTGTTCAAGTTATCATACATTGTATTTCAGATTCTAACCATATGCCTAGGATGGAAAGTGTACTTCACAACTGGAACCCTCTGAAACCCTTCTCTAAACAAGCGTCCTATCGGCCATCCATCCATCAGTACAATGGGTATCGGCAGGTAATGCTGGAAATACACTTTGGCCAAACTGAAGAAACTTCGGTGACTTAACTACATCTAATTTTGTTGACTTTATTTACAGAAAAAAAAAAAAAGGTATGCATGTATGTATACACACATACCTTCTACACATATATTATTCTATTTGATCTAGCATACCCAACATGTCCATTTCAAGAAATAATTTGGAACTGGGAATCATCAACATCATCTAAATAGAGATCAAGCCAAAGAATTCACTAATGGTTTACCCTGCCTATCCCTGAGACAAAACTTTGTTCCGTGATATCTCATGGTGTTGATTCAATAACTGGCTCTTTTCCACTTTTGCAATTTTTAAGTGGCTTTGTAGTATTTTGGTAGCTGTACTTCAATTTTTTTCCTAGCTTGATTTATAAGCAAACTACTTTTTCTGAACAAAACTTGAAAGATTTACAACCAACCCTAAAAGCATTGATGTCCAGACTTCGGTCCATGTATTTCTTCTTCTCATATTTATCTCGGATAAATCCCTCAACAGCTCTGCAAAAAGCTTATTAAGGATGAATCAAACATGTCTTGCCAACACTATGAATAAAAAATGTCAACTGGTATCCCATGGAGCTTTGTTCTCCCTCCCTCTTGCCTGGTTTCCCCGTATGGTTCATGTCTCTTCATATGCAGTTTCCCTGACCAAAACCTTGGAATGCCTCCTTCACCGGTTACTGCAGGGAATCATTATTTCCCATGATTTTCCTTAGAGCGATGAGAGCAGCAAAGGGATTAACCTTCATATTGACATTAGAGATGGCTATGGCTGTTCTAGAACACAACCTAAAGCAGTCGATTATCTATTTTAAAGTCTTTAGGTCAAAGGGCCTCAAACAAAGGTACCTAAATGCCCCTTAAAAACATAAACTCTTGTGTTCCATTGCCAGATTCTGACCTGTGGGTCTTCTGCAGGGCGCCCAAATCTGCACTTTAGCAGGTTCTGCCTGCGCCCACCAAAACGAGAACTGACAAAATGATCTACAAATCACATTTTGAGAAACACTGCCTTAGGGGGGTTGGTTTTGTTTGCTCGGTGTCATCTCTTGTTGAGGGGCAGGGGGAGAAAGTTATTGATAAATTAGTCAACAACTGTTAATTCTTTCACATAGGACATAAAAAGGCAATAAAAATAACTGGCAGCTTTGCTAACTGCCAGGGCTCAACAGAGCACAGTAAGCTATTCTTTCCATCAAACAATAGTTTCAGAGATCCAAAACTAGTGGAGATATCACGTTATAGAAGAATTCACAGTGAAACCACTGCATTCTTAATTCCTAAGTGAGTCTTCCACGTGACACAACATGATACTTGTGACATTAGGAAGCATACATGTGCTTTTTGTGTGTCTAGGTTACAAGAGAGGAAAAAACACAAGGACTCTGACTAATCCACACAGAAATGGCTTAGTCAGATCCCAGGCCTCAAGTCATGTGTGACTCTCCCAAAACACCAAAATACCACTCGGCTTTCTAGATTGCTCCAGAAAAGATACGGGTCTATCTGAGGTCGACGAAAGGTCTCAGGAAGGTAGGCTTCATAAAGTCGGTTTGCTTTTCCATTCCCCATCTCTTGCATGCACTGCAGTCAAAGAGAATGTGGAAATATGGAATGTCAGAATAGGAAAGAAATGAAACAATTCTCACCTAATTCCACCATTTTACAGATGAAGAACCAATCTAGAGAGTGGCAGAACCAAGATTTAAGCCTGTGTATTTTGATCTCCGATTCATGATTCTCTCTACTAGGAGTCTCCAACCATTTGCCTCCACAGCTGTCTCCCCTGCCACCACCACCCTATGGGTCCCTTGAAAGATTTACCTACCAAAATCATTTAATTCAATAATAATTCAAGATCTCATTTGGAAATCCAAGACACATAGCTACCAATCAAACTATCTAATTGGCAGGCAATAATCATTACAATTCTAAGTTTGTACTTTTAATTAACCTATTCACATTTATTACCAATAAATGTATGTTTCTTAATTAAAAAACAAAAAAAAAAAAAAAAAACCTTGCCATGGAGTCAATTCTGACTCATGACGACCCCAATGTGTTACAGAGTATAATTGCTCCATAGGGTTTTCTTGGCTATAATCTTTACGGAAGCAGTTCGTCAGGCCTTTCTTCAGCAGAGCTGCTTGAGTGGGTTCAAATCTCCAACCTTTAGGTTAGTATATAGTACAGCCCTTAAGACTTGTGAGGGATACAGTCAAAGATGTTTTTAAATCTTCAAATTCTCAAATAACCCCCTGGCATGTGATTTCCTTTATAAGACAGAGTAAAGTATAACCGAAAAATATAACTCACCTTTTTAGATCTTTTCTGAATCTATAAATACAGTCTAAAGTAATTTTTAAGCCATTTTGTGGCTAACCTCTTCTTTCCATCACCAACATTAGCAACTGTTTTTCTTCGGGGCACCCTTTCCTCCCCAAAAAAATTAAGTTTTTTTTTTTTTTTTATATCACTGGTGGTACAGTGGTTAAGCATTCAGCTACTAACCAAAGGGTCAGCAGTTCAAATCCACCAGCCGCTCCTTGGAAATCCTATGGGGCACTTCTACTCTGTCCTTTAGGGTCGCTATGAGTTGGAATCGACTCGACGGCAGTGGTTTTTTTGGTTTTAAAAAGTTTCAATGCAGGAATAGAATAGAGAACAATGAAGCTACCAGATGCCGATCTTAGGCCAGCTGAACCCACTCAGTGTACAACCAACACCACTATCTAACTTCAGAACATTTTCATCACCCCAAAAAGAAACTCTGTACTCAGTAGCTTAAGTGACTCACTCCCAGCCTACCAACCTAACAGCAAGTAAGATTCATATATGCATCATTATAAGCCTATGATTTGAGTGTTGTGTGTATGTGTGTGTCTGTGTGTGAATATTTAAAACTAAAAATGTTAAATCTGTAAATGCTACAGGTCTTAGAAACTAATCAAAAGATTCTCCTTAATACCTTCATGGGCCCATGGGGTACTAGATGATACACTGTGTTTTGAAGGAGGAAAAATATAGGTAGAAAAACTCACATCATAAACAAGAACGATTTAAAAGTCTTCTATTAGGGTACAATAATTTAAGTATTTAAGTATTTCACAATTAAACATTTCTTTATCTTCAGCTTTGCCTTCAGCTGGACTGAAATTTATCTGGAACTACTTTTACATGGAAATGACTCTTGGGCTGCGCAAGTACCTGAATCTGTTCTTGAGTCCATTGATCGAGGTTAACTGATTTTACCCTGGATATGTGCACCCCCAGATTCCTGTGTATTCCAGCACATCGAATGCAGATGAAGACACCAATGTTCCAGGAGGCCCATCGCGGTCCTGTGAAGATCAGAACAGGGTGATAAAGTACAAATTATAACAATATTCCAGGCCCAAACTGTACTAATACCTGCTCACCCTGCATAGCAGAAAGCGACAAGTGAGAAGATTATCAGACAACATTTCTGTTAAAACATGAGACCGAATTTTTACCACTTTTTATTGGTTTTATTCATTCCTCCATAAGCAGCTTTTTTTTGCATATTTTTAATTTTTAAGTGTACAATTCATGGTTTTTTATTATATTCACACAGTGTGCAATCAATACCACTATCTAATTCCAGAACATTTTCATCACCCCAAAAAGAAACTCTACCCAGTAGTAGGTACTCTCCTTTTCCTCCCAGCCCTCCCAGATAACCACAAATTCTGCCTCTATAGATATGCCTATGCTGGACATTTTATATAAATGGAATCATACAATATGTGGGCTTTTGCATATGGACAAGTTTTTACAGTGCTTGATAATACGAGTATTGAAACCCAGATGTTATAATACTGCTACTCATGTAAAGAAAAATCCCAGGAAAACAGTGCAGAGCTATGTCACATTCTGTTTTGTCTAACACTTTTACCATGAACACCCCTCCCCCAAGAAACCTTTCAATGGTGGTGGCCTGGATTCAGTTTTCCTACTAGGAAAAAAGATACAGCCATGCCATGCCAGCCCAAGGCTCAACCTGAAATTTAAAACGTTGTTTATCCTCCCTTGCCCCCAGGCCTATAAAATATGCATCCAGATTAACTTAATAAGATCCTTTCCCCTTGGCCTGATGTTCCTACTTTACCCAACTACAGAATTACCTAGACTCAAGATGGCTAAATAATGAAGATGCCCATTGCCAAAAAAAAAAAATCTCAGATATGTATTTTAATTAAAAAAACTGTTACAGAATCTCCCACCCCTTGCCAACTTTGCTCATCCTAATAATCACTCTGGGATATTATCAAACTCTTCCTCATAATTCCTATAACAGAAAGAAATGACTTACTTTTATATAACACCTGCCAAAGACTTACTGAGAACCGGAAACTTTTCCTTCTCCAGCATTCCACTAGGCAGAAATTTACCACATAAAATAAGCATTATGTCACAGGTAAAGCTCACAATAAAGAGGTGAAAAGACATGCATTGGTCTTCTACAGAGATAAACAAGACTTGTGTTTGGATCAACAAAGAGCAGGAAACTTCACCTCTGCAGGGCACAGGCAATGATTTGCTTAGCCTCAGGTTTTGACAGCAGTTTTAAAGCAGGAATGCTAGAGTCATATGGCAGGAAATCATTCTTAGAAATCTGAATTCATGATTATTATTCAAGTAAAGACGTAATTTTTTTGCCAAAGGTATCACTCATATTCTGTGGCAAATACTACAAATACTGAACGCCAAATCCTCCTTCTAACCACCAGATGGTGTTCTCTGCCTGAAATTTTATCCCAATACCTTCTATTGCTACTCTCCTGACAGGCTTAGATTTATCTTTTAAAAAGACCTTCGGTATCTCCAAATCCATTGACAGACTTGCACAGTAGTTTTGCCATATAGCTAATAAACACACATGTGACTCATACACTTGCTTTGGATGGTGGGGAGTTATATAAACACAAAATGAAAAACCTAAACAGGTACGAATGAGGTTTCTTAGAGTGCTGTACATTATTAAGTTATAGTTTTCATAAAGGAATTCTGATAAGATCTATGTTATATGGCACTGAAAATGGGGCCAAAAGTTAATGCTTCATATTTCTTCACCATTTTTCTTTTCCTCTAGATTCTGGAGTCTAGAACTCATGATAAGATTGTTAAAATGTATTTGTTCGCTAACAAAGTCCAGAAGCCAAAACACTAAAAGGTAGCTATGGAATGTTACCCTGTTTGCTTCTTGGCCTAAATCCAGAGAAGGCAATCCCCAATCATCTAAACCACTCTCACACTGGAATTTCTCCAGACCACATTCCAGAGTATTTAAGGTCCTTTTGCCCTGGTGGTGCAGTGGTTAAGTGCTCAGCTGCTAACCAAAAGGTCAGCAATTTGAACCCACCAGCTGCTCCACAGGAGAAAGATGTGGCAGTCAGCTTCTGTAAAGATTTACAGCCTTGGAAACCCTACGGGGCAGTTCTACTATGTCCTATAGGGTCACTATGAGTCAGGTTTTGCCTCTGAGGAATATAAGATTAAGACTCGATCTGGAGCCACGGACAAGGTCTCAGTCCAGAAATACAGGCAACAACAGTCTCATGAAAAGCCCAAGGCATATCCTCCTCTGGCCCCACATCTGCCATCCCTCCTAGAACCTTTTTCCAATGAAACAGTGATAGTACTATCTCAGATACTCGGTCTCCTTTAGTTTTGAACCACTGGGTTTTTTAGTCAATGACTGCATGCTCCATAAAAGATTCTGAAATTGGAGAAAAGAAAAAATACAAGAGACCAAAGTTACTTATATGGCTGGAAATGTGGGGGAAATGTGTAGTTATTAAAAGTACAGACTTTGGAGCCAGAAAAGACTTAGGCTTGAATTGCAGCTCCATCAATGATTAGCTGCATGACCTTTGGAGACCTACTTAAACTTCCTAAGCCTCAGTTTCCTCACCTATAAAATATATACAATAATATCCCCCTCACAGTGCCTAGAACATAGGGGGACAATAATAAATAACAGCTACATATAAGAACATGGTATAGCATGAGATTTCCAGAACCTATTTCCCATTCATCTTCTTCACTAATAAGGACAAGTTAACTCCTTCATATATACATACCAAGACTCTAAGCAACACAGCATGCTTCTTTTTAGACAGGAGTATGAGTTTTGGTCCTAAAATATCAGAACCAAAATTGACTGAATATCACAAAGAAGAAATTTACCCTACACCCAATTTCAAAGTCTTTAAAAAAGGCACTATCTGCACTTCCACCTGTGTCTCTTCTCTGCTATACACCCCCACCCTGCCCTTATGCCCATACATACCCCTGCCTCAACACAGCAAAGAAAGAAGGCCCAAAGCTGTTAGCCTGAGTGGTGGATGCTTGGATTCCATAGTATCTGGTATTGCTACTACAAGATCAGCCTACTCAAATCTGGTATATTTTGTAAAAATAAACCAATTGTTTAATACACATTGGTCACATCAACCAAGGAGAAAAAAATAAAAGATGCCATTCTGAAATTAGAAATGGAAAGAGATGCTGAATAATGAAAGCAAAGAGGAGAGGCAAGTGATATAAACTAGCAGTGATTAATTAGCACAGTGCAAATACAAGGTCATGGCTAAGTGAACATATTCAACAGTAGCCTAAGGCAGCATTAAGCAATATTAAAATTAATATGCATATAATAATCACCCTTCAGTAAGGAATCAGTGAAAATGAAGAAAGTATATGGATTTGGTTGATTGGTCAAGAAATCAACTATCTTAAGTACCAGCCCAGTATCAGGAAAACCTGTGCTTACACTGACTGACTTGCATGGGTTTGACAAGTCTCTGTGGGGCTTACTTCTCCACTAATAAAATGGAAAGCATGTAGGTAATTTCCAACTTACTCAACTTCTGGAAAGTTTCTAGATACTGAGTAACTACTACGGCTCTCCTACAAATTTGCCTTGCTGTTAAAACTTCCCCTACCACTACAGCTGCCAGACTTAGAATGGTTGTGGGCTTGAAAACTAAGCAAAGAGGAAAACTGGAGTATCAGATGGTTTGAAGCTACTATTACAATAATTACAGCTCCTTTAATAATTAACCATTTTGTGGGTTGATCTCTAACCTTATGGAGTTCCAAGCAAACAAATGTTGCAGAAAAAAAATTGATAAATGATGGCTATCCATACTTAGACTTTCCAGCATCGTGAAGTTGTTGAAAAGCTCTTCAACAGAAAGGGTGAAGGACAGGGAGAAAATTTATTCCACCTTACATCCAAGTCCTATTGAATCTACCTTGAAAAATTTTCCAGAATTTCTCCATCTCTACCCAAGACCTTCTCATCTCTCACCTATAAGCATTCATTCTTTCAGCATTATTTACTGAATACCTACTATGTCAAGCATTCTGCCTGCTAGGTACTGGGGATACAAGGCAGAGATAATAAAGATGAGACCCCCTTTTTTAAAGAACTCACAGACTAATAACTAACTGGTCTCCAAACTCCCATCAGAATAATCATTCTAAAACACAAATCTGTAAAGATTTTGCCCCTAAATATAAATCTTCCATGTACTCTCAAATTGGTGCAAATTTTCTGAAGGGCATATTCCAAATTGAGCTCTTGATCTCTTGCCACAAAATCTACTCTTTCTCCATTATTCTCCACCTTAGTAAATTAATACCTCCATCCATCAGAAATTTATACATCATCTTTGATACCTCTTTCTCCTTCAATCCCCACACCCATATCATCACCAAGACCAAAATATCTCTCAAATGAGTATCTCTTTTTTTTCTATCTATATCACTAGTTCTCTAATCCAAAATCACTAGAATCTCTCTTGGATTAGTGCAATAAGCTCCTAATATCTCTCCACTTTTACATTCACTTCTACCCTGGCCCCCAACCAAAAGCATTCTCCACAAAACAGTCAGTTTGAGCTCTCAAAGAAACAAAAGTAACCTTGTCACTCTGCCGCTTAATATCCGTCTATGGAAGGTCTCCTTCTATTGCTGTTGGAATAAAGAACAAAACCCTTAACATGGTCTCCAAGGCCTTATATGATCTGGTCCGTGCCTACTTCTCCAGCCTCAGCTCCTGTGACACCAGTCTTTTTTCATTTCCTCAAGGCATCAACATGTTCCTTCCTTACGACCGTGTACCTGCTGCTCCTACTGGCTAAAAAGCTCTTCCCCCAACGGCCATCCACCACTTGTAGCCTGGCCAACTCCTATATATCATGAGGTTTAAACGGAAATGTTTCTTCCTCAAAGACGTCTTCCTTTGGCCCACCACAAACTAAACCAGACTATAATCTCTCTTCCACTCTTTTGGTTTTTACCATTTTATTAT